TTTGTTGTTTTCTTTTTCTTCCTCCAAAACACCCATATATCAAAATTCTTTTTAGAAAAACAGGACTTCTACTTTGAATTGAAAGGAAAGCTCTACAGGGCTGCTTCCTATAAACAAATAAAACAGTCTGGTGCTCTTATCACATCCTATTCTCAAACTCTTGGCATCAGATTCCACTCTGGGACACCAGATCTTTTTTGTAGCCTGAAAGAGAGAACAAATTAAAACTTAAAAATAGATCCGAATTTTAAAGCTCGTGTTCCTTCCCCAGAAAGCTTTTTTTCCTGTGATCTGCAACCTTTGCTGTTTATTACAATAAATTATTACTTTCTGACTGGCTTTACATCAGTTTTATATGCTTTATGAGCTTTTATGTTATCTTATCAATATATGTTCAATAACATTATATGTTCATTACAATTTTGCAAAAACCGCATTCTGCTTTTGTCTCCATATTCCTGCAGAAGGTCACGTCACTGCCTAAAGCCTCTGGATTTCAGAGCAGTAAAAGTTTGGGTTGCTCAGATCCTGCTTGTGATGACCAAACACAACTTCTCAGCGTTTCTGCAGCTGCTGACACAGAGATTCAAGACAAAACCCTCTGTTGTCATTGGAATACAAAAGAAGAAGCTTCTCCCTATTGGAAAGTCTCCTCTATTTACCCTGAAGGGCTCTTCCTCTTCCTTTCTCAGCAGCAACAGCAAGAGGCACAGAAGGATAAAGGGATTTGGTTGGCTGCTTTGTCCGGCATTTTAATAACAGTTGTAAACAAGAGCTCTGCATGTTAATAATGTCTTTGCAATGGCAAGTCCTTGCTGAGGATGAAGAGCTATGTCACTTGTGTTTACATCAAATTAATGGTATGGTGGGTTTTCATCTGCAGATGTGACCTCTGTGATTGTTCACCTCTCAGGGAGGTTTGTACTCACAAGGACAGTATCATTCTTGTCAGCAGACCACAGTTTGTTCACACGTGAAAAAAATCCAAGCAAAATTGCTTCTTAAATTAACATTTTCCTTTTGGTCTCAGACCAAAGATTTAACTGTAATGGCCAGTAAGAACAAATTTGCTGCCCCTTTACCTGGCAAGACAGGTGTAAAACACTACCGCCTATGTTGGTGTTAGAAAAGTACGTAAGGTTCAGTGTAGAACTGTTTGCACAGCAGACCTGAGGCTGACAGTTAAGGGAGCATAAATGAAACAGCCCTTCCAATCCAAAAGGCTGATGAGAAATGTTGGTATTTCTGCTCTTCTCCATTGTTCACAGCATATTTTATGTGATTTCAGAATTGCAGCTCAAAATTATGGCCAAATTAAGCCATGCAAAGGGTGATTGTACATATGTAATAGTGGAGGTCAATGTCAGTGTAGCTGTTTCTGATAATACAAAGAACTCTTTTATGGTACTTTTTAAGAGAACTGTTTTTTTCCTTTTCATTCTTAACTGCAAAGCCTCCTCCAGAATATACAGCAAACAGGTCATTTACACATTTACATTGTCTTTTCACAATAACAGAAAACTCCCCTTTTAATCAGCCTGAATTGCAAAATTCTCATCTGTATTCAGGAATTTCATTTAGTCTCTCCTGTAAACAAGGGATTTCTATGGAACAGGGTTGATAAAGGACAAACTGCAACTGGAAAGAGTGGAATTTATTAAGCATTACCATTATTCATCTCCCACTTTCAGCAACCCACACTATCAAGCCTGAAGCTAATATGGTTCCTTGTTAAATATTTCTGATGATTAGATATCCTTGTGCAAAGAGGGAATTGGGACTTAATGTTAGTATTTATGCATATAGCATTGTGTATGAACATTGCATATTCAAAAGGTAAAACAAATATAACCCACTACCTGTACAGTGTATGGAAGACGCTGCAATAACACAAATAGACTTCTCTCATCAGGCTCACAGGCAGGTTAAACAATACTGTGCTCGCAAATAGTCTGTTCTGACGTCTCTTGTGTTACTGAACCAGGAAAAGTTACCTATAGACACAGTAGGACCCTGAAAGTCTTTCCAAATACAAAACTGTCTCCAGGTGACACAAGTGACTACAGCAACCTCCAATAATGTAGTGGGGCATCCATGGCTGTTGTGTTTGATTTGTCATCAGGTGTATGGTTTTGTAATTAACAGAATCACAGAATGGTTTGGGTTGAAAGGGACCTTAAAGATCATCCTGTTCCAAGACCTCTGCCATGGGGACATCTTCTGCTAGACTAGGTGGATCAGAGCCCCATCCAGCCTTTGGCAGATACTAAAGGACAATTTTTTCCCTGTTTTTTATGAGTCAGATTTCCACACTCATATTCATGGGTGGGTCCAGTCTCACACAGAAGATTGCTGGGTTTATCACTCTTATCCTCACAACACAGCAGAGGTCCTATTTTGGATTGCTCTCATTGCTCTCAAGACCCCAGTGACTGTCTACTGCCTTTCCTCCCTCAGCCTGCTCTTCTCTGGAGGCTGCAGAACCGGTCTGTGCATGACCCTGACATGGGCAGGAGCCTGGATGGCAGGAAATGTGTTCAGTTGCTGAGTGGAAAAGAGTGCAGAACCTGACCAGCCCTGAGGGGTTAGACTGGAAAAAGGGATCAGTGACAACAACAAGCCCTAAATCTCAAAAGTTTCTTGACAAAAATGACAAGAGGCATGTCTTTGCCAAAGAGTTGGTTTACATACAAATCATGGGTAGTTCTATTGTTTTTGCTGACACACCAGCTTAACACAAGCCGGCATCAAGCCTGTACAAACTTAATCACTTGCAGTACATATGTACTTGCCTGTAAATGCAGCTGTAGCACATATATTCAGATGGGAGCACATGTTCTTCTGAACTTCTTTCCAGAGGTGACTTTTTTCTGCTCCTAGTATGGACAAAGCATGTACTTTCTTGAGACCTTAAAAAAAAGGGCAGCATTGTCAGCAAATAAGTCCTGGTATCCCTGAAGGTAAAAGTATTCCACATCGTGGATAAAGACATTAGTGCCCTCTCTATTTATTGTTGAAATTGTTAGTGTGTTAAGGATTTTCTTTGTCTTTTATAGGACTTCTTTTTCTTATTGCCAGAAATATTCTGATCTGCATATGAAATATTCAGTCCCTTAAATTCTTTCAACAGGTCACAGTTTCACACTGATCTGTGGCATAGATTAATAAATTATAGCTTTAAAAGCTTTTCTGTACTAGAAATTCTAATCATAATTCTAATATTTTAAGGGGATAAAGGTCTTCCTTTTTTGAAAAAAAAATGACAAAACCTATGGCGGGAAGAGATCCCAAGAAGTCACCTTCACTTTAAAAGAAATTCCACTGTAAATAAAGTATTCCTGATATTTATCTCACTGATAGCTATCAGAACAACATATGTGACCAGTCCTTGTGCCCGCATAAGGACACATGATCTCCTGTGATGCTCATCATGTCTGGATGGCTGCTTTTTTTGAGTCACAGGATAGTGTTTCCAAGGAAGTCCATAACAAGCTATTGGAAACAGTCTAGCCAGAAGCTTAGGGCGCATCTGAGCTAATTTTTTTAAAAAACTTTCAATAACATCTATTTCACAGCCTCCTTGGCAGCCTATTAATGTTGTCCCAAACCCAGGCTCTTTCAGCTGCTGTGCAAGCAGTGGATCCACACACAGAGTTATCTGGTTTTATTTCAACCTGTGCAGAGATGGTGCAAGGAGGTGAATCCGCAGAGCCAGCACACCTCCAGTATGCCAGGGGCTCATTTGTACATCCTTCCAACTATAGAAAAACAGCATTTCCTGTTCCATAAGCTAAGTCCTCAGTCATCGGCTTTGCCTTCTCTTGTCTCCATTTGAAGATACCATGCACACTTGTTTTATTGTGCAGTGTGTGAGGAAGGGGTTTATGTGAGTAGGGGGTGATCATAGCCTGTGTCCTGAAAATATATCCACTAAACAAGAAGATACTGATGTCTTCTGATACTACTTATCGTAGCATCACCATCCATGCGAGTTCCTTTGTGGAACTTCTCAAAAAAGGGCTTCTATCATTTTAGTGGTTACAAGAACTTGTTAATTCTCAGTTATCCACCATCCTTCTGGATTTTGGAACGTTTCAACATTTCTATCAATTGATCTTCATTCATCCACACGTTGCAGCAGTTACACTGGTATTGTTATCCACCACTGTTCCAGTTGGTTTGCCAACACACCGCCAAACAGAGCAGAGCTAACTCAGAGTCCCTGTTTGCTTCTGTCAGGGATTAAGTTCAGTTGGAACTCCCTGAGCCGTCTGTGAGGGACTTCCAGTCTGACAGGGTATGGATTTAACCTTGCTGGGTTTGCTCCTGGTTTGTTCTACATTGAGTGGAGTCAATTCTCTTAGTGGGCCCTTGCAGTGGGTTATCACTGAACATGTGACTCCACTGTCTATCGAAAATCTATGGTTTCATTTCCCAGCTTTACTGGAACAGGGGGATCTGCTGTGCATGTCTTGATATTTTCCCCCAGTCCGCTGCCAAAATCTTCAAAATTCTGCTAATTGCTTCAAAAAACACAAATCAACATTTATTTCAGTTTAAAAATTAAATTTATTGCACATTTCTACACCCACATTACCGATACATAAACATACAAAAGTAAATTTAAGTTTAAAAAATAAAATTTATTACAAATTGCTACACCTGTGCTGATTTATAAATACACAAATACCGATTTAAGTTTAAAAAAATTTATTAGATTTCTACAACTATGCTATGTAAAAATATACAAATATTAACTGCAGTTAAAAATGTTAATTTATTGCAGAGTACTACAACTGTACAGCCTATAAACTAATACAAAAATATCAATATACCTATCCAAATAACACCATACCTATAAGTAAATAAATATAATTATAAAACTATACAACTCTGCAGCTACAGAAACATAACTTCATACACATAACCATAACAATATAGATATAAATATAATTACATATTAAATATACTATATAAATACATATATAAATATACACATAGTGAACCTATATATAAATATACAAATATCAATATATCCATAGGCCTATAACTACATCAATATAATTAGACAGCTATACAACTCTATACATATTTAAATATAATGAAAATATAACAATATACCTACATATAGCAATATACCTACATATTACTAGATACATATATTAATATATGCATCTAAAAATCCATATACCTATAACTAGAATAATATAACTACATAGCTATACAACTGCACACATATGTAATTATAACTAAAATACAGATAGAAATATAACATACATATATAAATACAACTAGATACATACATAAATACAACTAGGTACATATATAACTAGATAAATATATAAATATACCTATACAAATATTCAATCTACATATGTAAATATCTATATACCTATAACTACCTAGGTATAACTATAACTATACACATCTCTAAATATAAGTATATACAGAGAGATCCCAGCCGCCCCATCTTCACAGGCTCTTCCTCGGTCTCTCCCTCCCATGCAGAGCAGCCCTCCTGGAGAGGTACAGATGGACATCTGGGAAACAAAGGGGATATGGAGTCAACATTGGTCCTCCTGTACATTTCCCTTGGCAGCAATTGCACTTCTATCAGGGATTACAAAATCTTAGATCCTACCGGGGAGGGTTAGAAAGAAAAAATCCCATGTTCTGAGGATTTTCAACAACAAATAACTTGTCTATTTAGCTCTCACCTACTCATTCAATCCTCGTGCAATACCATCTAGCTTTGGCAGGAGACTTCCTGCCAGGTCTTCCTCCCCTCTGCACAAAACTCACAGGATACTCCCGCCAGCTGTCCCTGCACAGGACCGACCCATCGTGTCCCACGGACTCCCAGAGAGCTCCTTAAGCCTCCCCAGAGCTGGGCAGGGAGCAGGGACATCCCTGGGCAGGGCTGGGACAGCTTGCCAGCAAGGAGCGAGGGTGTTCCCAGCGCAGCCCAGCCGAGACTGTCCTGCTGCAGCCCACAGGCAGAGTGGGACACACGGGAACAGCTCCCGGGCTGTGCCAGCAGATCTGCCTTCCCCAAGGACAACCCTGTCCAGCTCTGGGTGAGCTGAGCTGAGCTGAACCACCCCCAGCAAGGGCAGGGAGCCCTCCTGACTCGGGGTAGTGCCCATTTCCAACTCCAAACTACCCTCACATCCATTCCGTCTCACCAGCCCCAGTGGCCTCACCAAGGGTCTCAGGCAGCAGCAGCAGCAGGTCCCTGTTCAAGATGTGGTTGGTGGTCGTCAGCTTCTCTCTCTTGGCCCTCATCAGTCTCTTGCTGCTCACGAGGAATTCAGGGCAGTCCTGGCAAAAGTGGAGAGTCTGGAACATGTGCTGTGGCCCAGCAGGCTTGGACAGGCTTGGACCCCCCTGTGCTCCCCGTTGGTCCCCCACTATCCCCTCGGCCCCACCATGCCCTTGGCAAACCCAGAGCCCCCAAGTCCCCTCAGCTCCCCCAGTCCCTTCAGACCCCTCCACTTGCCTCAGACCCCATCATCATCTCAATGTCACAGGCCCCTTAGCCCCATCAACTGCCTCAGCCTTTGCCACTCCCTTATCCCCTCAGCTCTCACCATCCCCCCCAGCTCCCCCAGCCCCACTGTCCCCTCAGTGCCACCATCACCTCAGCATCACCGTCCCTTCAGCATCGCCGTCCCCTCAGCCCCCCCAGCCCCCTCAGCCTCACCATCCTCCAGCAGCTCCTTGGGGAGTGGTGCCTGGTGCCACCAGAAGGTCCCCCAGTCCCATGGGGGTGCGGGGGGCCGGGACCTGGGGCTGGAGCTGCTGCTCCCCCGGCCCGGCCACCAGCCCAGAGGCGGCACAGGGAGCGGGGACAGAGGCAGCATGGCGGGAAGAGTGAGGGATGGAAAAGGTAGCAGAGGTGAGAAAGCAGCCTATACCTATACAAATATCAATATACGTACCTAAACATCCATATACATCTAACTATGTAACTATATACATCTATAAATATAACTAGATGTAAAATTATATGTAGTGTGTATATATATAAATAAATATAATATATAAAAATAACTATATAAAGATGTAACGATACATATATAAATATAAATATGTACATCTATAAATAAAATAAATATAAATAAATAATATATATAATATTTTTAAAGAAATTAAAAATATTAAATTGTAAACAATATTAAATCATTCTAATAATATAAGATATTGTAATAATATAGTACTAACTATAAAACATATTAATAACAATGATATAGAATTAAATTATTATATGATAATATAATAAAATTACATAATTATATAATTATTAGTACAATATTAAATAATTCTAATAATATAAGATATTGTAATAATATAGTACTAACTATAGAACATATTAATAACAACGATATAGAATTATATTATTATATGATAATATAATAAAATTACATAATTATATAATTATTAATATATTGATACTAGTAATAATTACAATACTAATAATATTAAATGTCATATTAAAATAATAATAGATATTAATATATTATTTCATCTCTATACATCCATAAATATAAATATGCAACTATATATATAAATGTAACTCTACCCATCTTTAAACATAACTATAAACAGAGGGATTCCAGCTGCCCTGTTTCACAGGCTTTCCCTCAGTCGCTTCCTCCCACGCAGAGCAGCTCTCCTGGCGAGGTACAGCTCATGGACCTCTGGGAAACAAAGGGAACAGAGTCACTGTGGGTCCTTGTGTACATTCTCCTCAGCAGCACATCGAGCAGTTGTACTCCTGTCAGGGACTGCAAAAGATGGCCTCAAAGGCAGGCTCTCACTTGGGAATTTGAGGCCTGCTGTTTAAAGAATAGGAATTCTTCCAAGTTTTCAATACTTTAAAGTTTTGAAGTACCCAGTAAAGTCCCAGCACTCACCCTGCAAATGGCACAAGAGCTGTAAACAGAGACAGTCACATCTCACAAAGACAGCTCCAGCCTTGTTCTTTCTCTGTGCCGCCAAAGGCCTCAGTCCTTACTTAAATGGCTGAAACTCATGGGCAATGGGAGCTGAGTTATTAACCAGCATCGTTATCTGGGATCTAGAAACTGCCCTCTGAAGTGAGCAACAGTTCCTCCAACTCTACCATCAGCTCTTGGAGGAACAGCTGGGAGGGAAAAGGCCTCCCTACAAGGCCAGCAGCCTGCACCACCTTTGCTCTAGAATAGATATAAAGTGCTCTCTCTCTCCTTTTGGGTCTTGCTGATTTGGGGACATTCAGGTTTTTCCTTTAGTTACTGGATTTGTGAATTGCTTGGCCTCGGATGTTCTGCCTCTTGTTTTTCTCACGTGTCTCAGCATAGGTATCAGCAGATCGGTATTAAATGTAGGTAGTGATTTGAGACAAAAAGCCTGGACTTCTACACTGACATCACCAGTTTGCTGGGTTTTCTCCCTGTTGCTTTAATAGTCACCTCATTACTCAGCACTGCCTCTGTAGCACATCTGGGTTGGTGGTGCAACTCCCAGAACGTCAGGTTTTGTTCACTGATCTAATTCACACCCTTTTGCACAGAAGAACACCTGGTCTGAGCACATCTAGAGAAGTGTGTTGGTGAGTACTCTGTGAGGTTGTACAAGCACAACTATTTTCACTGAAGGCACAAGGAAGCACTAACACTGCAGACAATAACTCAGCTGCTCTGATCTCCCCTTCCTGTAATACTCAGCCTTAGAGCAGCTGTCTCGGTCATCTCTAAAAGAACGTAGACTCTCGTCTTACCAGGCTCATTTGGCTCCAGGGAACTGTTCCCGCTGCTCGCACTGCCAGGCAAAGCTTTCTCTGCTGCAGCCTTGTTCCCAGGCTCCCCTCCTGAAGACTCAGAGGGAACACTAATATTCCCCTTAAAAGAAAAACAAATAGAAATAAACCCAAGGATCACTCGATATTTTCTTGGAATCACTTTAGGGACACAGTAAAAACTGTTCTATGCTCCAGAAGGATGTGTAACACAAAGTGAACACTGCTCAGATGGTTTACAGGACAAGTGCTTTAAACTCAGAATTAAGGTTGCCAAAGTGAAAGCTCTTGTCCTATTAAGCAAAACATGAAATCAGAAAACCAGAATACGCTAAGTGAGGCTGTGTGTCCTCACAGTCAGAACTTTGCCCTCACTTATCACAGGAGCTGCAAGAAACCAGTCAACAGAAATCCAGGTGCCCTCCTTGCTACCCACATGTGTGTCAGGTTGCTCACTGCACAGGGCTGTGTGGTGCAAAACTACACATGAGCCACACATTTCTGGCTGGGAATCCCCCCCCGCCCATCCTCCTTCTAAGACAATAAATTACAAGGTGTTGCTTGCTTTTTGGAGCCTTCTGCTGCTGCCCAACATGTACTTTGCAGCCAGCCATTTACTGAACTGGTGTATTTCCATGATCATGTGACAAAAATCTGTAGGCTAAAAAGTCCCCCAAAACCAGACAACCAAGTCATGTTTCTGCTCCGCTGAGGAAGTAAAGACCCAAGATTAAGCACCTGGAAATTACCTTTAGGCACAAAGATATTCTCACTATGACCAGTTCTAGGATATTCGTCTCTTCTGCCATAGCCTATCCATCAGAATCCCAGAGATGAATGACTGCTCAGAGCCTGCAACATTTCCTTCTATTAAGCAATCAAACGCTTTTGAAAACTGGTATGTGTGATGTTATAGTAGACAAAAGGGTATCACACTTGGGAAGAAGATACTGGTAATGCCAAAAAAATCACACTCCCCACCTTGACTCTGCCCTTACTCAGTGTTAAATATACAAAAGGCAACAGGTCCGTACATCAATAGAAATAGAGACATTCTTTGGCAAAGTTGTGTAACAATAAGCAAAAAGGCCTGTGCCAATTCAGGAACGGAACATTCCAGAGAAGTCTGGGAAGAGCAAGAGTTAGAGAAAGGGGATTCCTAATCAAAAGAGGCAACTTGTCCAACAAAAAATCTAACAGTCCATGAATCGCTCTTCAACACAGAATAAGCCTTTGACCACTTCAATAAGTCCTTGACCATTTCACATCCAGGACCAACACTGTCCTTCACACCAATTACACAAGTCATGGGGCCTCAAAACCCAAATGCCTGCCCCCCAACAACTCCATGGCTTACACACTTAATCCCTCCTTGCTAACAAGGAAGTCTGGGCCCCAAGGGCCTTAAAAATGGAGATTTACTTCTCAAACACAGTTCAAAAGCTGTCAAAGCTGACAATGTTTAACGTGCAGGTGACACCCAATACACTGAGAGGGCTCTAAGGAAAGAGTCCTGCCAACTCCGTGTGTGCTGGTGTAAGGACGTGCTCTTCCCTGCACTGCACTGAGCAGAACAGTTCCATCGAGGCTGGAGCTTTGCAGGGACTTTAGATTAGAATACATATCCCTTTCTAGAAAGAGGGATACCCAAGAGGAAGATGACTAAGCTATGGGACATGGAGAGCAGTAGGGGTAAGTTTGCTCCGGCTGAGGATTTCCAAGCCAGAAACTTTACTGGAGACCTCAAAACACAAAGAGGACAATAAACTGCTGCAACTCCAGCACATGCACACCACAGCACTTTGAGCCACGGGCAGCAGCACCAGGTGCAGTGCAGCTCTTGGCTTTCTTTGGGGTTCAAAAGAGAAAGAGCTAGAGCCCACATCTGGTGCTGCAACAGAGGGACCTCTCACACGCCCCTCACTGCGTGTGAGACTTTGCCTTCAGTGGTAATGCTCAAAATACTCTTCTCTTATTTAGGATCCAAGACATCATGTTATAACCTACAAAGCTTCCACTTCATCACTGTGAATGCAACTGCAGGAGGTATTATTCCCAAGAAAATGAGTCCCCTAATTTGGCCAACACAAGCTAACCCACCTCACACTCATGAATGTGGGATACTTTTTCAGTCCCTCTTCTTCTTTAAACCTTAACTTTACCAACCAAACTCTTTGCTGTCCATTAGAAGCTGAATTAAAGAAGCCTTTACTTCCCAGGCGGGCAACTACATTAAAAACAGGTCAGTCCAGCCCCCAGCATTGCTATTGAATGGAGTTACCTCAAGAAAGGGAAACATTTCAGGCAGGTTTGATGCAAGCACCTCCTCGAGCATCTGAAACACAACTTCCGGATCTACTCCTGCCCACTCGTCTGCAGCAGAGGGATTACAGGCCCAGCTGGAGATCGTTGATGCTGCAGAACCAGCACTGCCAGTCAGAGAATCGGGGGCTGAACTCCCCAGTGTGGCTGCAAGAATCCAAACACGGTCATCAGGCTTCCAGAATTTGGGTTTGGTTTGCAGAGCTCTGTTGCTTCCTTTGATTAAACATTTCAGGAATCACACAGTAAACTCAATTCCAGAAATGTATTTGTGCTCTCCGGGTCATCTGAAGACCAATTACCGATTTATTAATCTTAAAGAAAAGTATTCTAGTTGATGTGTACATTGAAATTATACATAAATTATATATATTATATAAAGTATTAAAATATGGATTGTAAAGTCTGTACACACACATAAAAGCTTCATAATTGCAGACTTCTGTATCTTCCCATCAGCTTTTTGATTTGGCTGTTTTGGTTTCTCATCACAACATACCACTGAAAGCGGATTCACCTAAGACGAGATTACATCTTCAGACGCACACACCAAAACTGAACTGCGATTTTATTCTAAAAAGCAGCGTTGTGGAACAGTGTTCTCCAGGTAGGACTGTTTGGGTAACACACAGAGGTCATCTAAAAGTAATGTCATTCTTTGCAGGACAGATAATCTTAAAAATCTGCACTATCCTATCATTGTCCTAGTTTTGCTTAATTAAAAGAAAGATGAAAGTCAACCTAACACCGACTAGTTGTGGGCAAATGCTTTTCTCCTTGCCCTTTCACCTCAACAGAGAGGCTGTGTGCAAAACCCCCAGGGGATGCTCTAAATCTGGAGGAAGGATAGGAAAACCAGAGTGTGAATCTTTTTGCTTTCAAGATCTCTCTTCCTT